CATAAGCACCGAACGTTGGAATTTGATGTTAACCGCGAGGTGCAGAATTGGCCAATAGCTCCTAGTGATGAGCTGTTAAACCAGAGGATACTCAGTAGGCCCATAGTCTCTGTAATGTGCAATTCACTGCAAACCTTCAATCATTCATTTAGCCCTACTGACTCTAAATTACAAGTATATTACCGTCACTGTAACCGCGAGAAGATGCAAATGTAGAAGAAAAGGTAGAATATGAAATCGGATGAGTTTGAGTGAGAAAGTGCAGCAGTGATGGAGCGATGGAAAGGACTGCATATGTTGCTCTCTGAAACACTTCCCACCGCTGTTAGTCAGCTCAGTCTGCTCTCCTCCTCATTAGTCTCAGTGTGTAGGCTACACTACATCGTCTGCTACCTGCCTCCAATCTGCAGCACTGGTGTTGCTGTTGGCATCAGTGTACTCAAAAGTCTTCATATCTGCCTGTCCCAGATTCACCCGCTGTCCTCTTCGGGGGGGAAGTTGTGCTCCACTTCGCTTTAGGCTCCCTGTAACGCTCTCTAGCTTTGTTTTCCTGTCAAACGTAACTTACTGCTGTGTGTCTATGCATGCATGTGTATTGTGTGTGTGTGTGTGTGTGTGTATGAAAATGTCGTTATCATCCTGTCTGGAACAATTTCACTTATAGTGGATTTACATTAATTTCAATGCATAGCTGAAGTCTATAAAGGTCACACTGCACTTTTTGAAGGCTGCAAATCCCACCAACATGCATCCAGGCTAAACTCATTGGCATGCTTGCCTGTGTGTTAGCCTCTGCTGCTCAACCAGTAGTGGCCAGTCACACTTGCCAGTAGCAGCTGTGCAGCCAACTGGGGGATGTAGCACACTCCCACAATCAAAAGTCAAATGAAAATGGACGAATGTTAATGATTTGAATCATGGGAGCAGGCCAAGGAACAGAAGCAGTGGAGGAGAAGATGAATAAAATGCTGGCCTTGTCTGAGTTTAGGGTGAAGGCAAACACATTCCTCACAGATAACCAAGCAGCAGCCAGACACCTTGGGATTAATTAGCTACACAATCCTTTTAACACAAGCTTTATGTTACCAATTTGTAGATTATTTGTTCTGTTAGGGTACAGAGAGAGAGAGAGAGAGAGAGAGAGAGAGAGAGAGAGAGAGAAGTCATTACGTGTGGAATGGATTACTGTTTTATGAAGCTGGTTGCTTTGTAACTACGAGTTATTGCACCTCACTGTAATTCCCTGCTTGCAGTTGGAGCGACCGACTGCCATCTAAGCTGCTTTCGAATAAACAGAGAGGAAAGAAATCTTTTGATATTTGGAAGGGTACAAGGGTAGGTAGACTGAGTTTTGTTTGTGTGTGCCTGTGGCAAATATCAGTGTGCCAGCAAAGTAAAAAAGAAACAGAGCAAATGGGAAATGTGAGTGTTTGTTTGTGCTTTTGTAATTCTATTGTTATGAGGACAAATTCAATCTTTAGACCTTGTGTAGGGGGGAGTTTTTGGGACAGTAAGAACACATCTCCAGCCTTGGTTTTAGGGTTAGGGTAAATGTTAGGCATGTAGTTGTGATGGCTAAGGTTAGGGGCTGAACAATGAATTATGTCAATGAGGGTCCTCACTGGTAGAAACATATGCATGTGTGAGGCTGTGTGAAGGTCTATTAGCTGAACGATCTCCAACTTCACAGATATATGAAACATTAAAGCATCACACACACATAGTCACTGCAAAACAGCAGATGCAGCCTGTACCGACACACTCACACAGCGACACACAGAGATACACACACAAACACACTCACAGAATGTGACAAAACATCCTGCGGTGCACCAGAGATGAGAGGTACAGAAAAGATGCAAGAAGTGCACAGAGTGACGGCAGAAAGGTAGGACGAGAAAGGAAGGCAACATGAAACAGAGTTGTCTACAGTAGTGGAATAGCAAAGTACCAAATCCACACTTTCACATTGTGTCATTTTTTCGAAACGACCCGTGGAGTGAACAGTGGATAAAAAGACTGACTGGAGGAAAGAAGCTGATGAGAAGAAACCAGCTAATGCTATCTCTGTCACTTTTCACTTCAGTCAGGCTGAGAGAGATTTGGTTTTTGCCTCCACTGATTCGGCAGCGAGCCAAAAACCATAACAGCAGGACAAACTTAACAATCAGACTCAGTGCTGGGAGGAGAGGAGAGCGACTGATGTCTCTGTTACTCTAATCACATCAGCTGCATTTTATTTTTTAAAATAATTCTCCAGTCATTACTGACACGGAACTGTTGGAAAAATTACAGCAAGAGGGTGCTCAGTTGTTTCGCACAGCTACAACTACAGAGCTGATTATTAAAATCTGTAAATATGAATACTGATGAAAACAAAAAGGTGACACATTTAAATATACTTTTGCAGAATAACAAGCCATTTTCTCCTCCCTCTCAGCACATCCACTGGAGGACTTCAGCCCTGTCAAATTACTATTATTGACTCTCAGAGGGGATCACCATGGTAACAGGCCTGAGGGAGCCAGCAACGGACCGGATCCATCCAGCATCCAAGGCTGTTAGCTCACAACGCATACACCTGAACACGCACACACACACACACACACATACTCAAGAACTCGCAGCAAATGAGACCGAGAGACCACTTTAGAGAGACAGGGACCAATTGGATGACATTTAAATGGATGGAAAGCGGAACGAATGAGTTCATTTCCAGCGTTCATGTCGCAGTTCAGACCCCCCTCTGGATATCAAACTGGGATCACGCTGGAACGGCAGAGCGACGCCTGTTGCGAATTGTACTTTTCACAGTTGAATTCCTATATTTTTGCGAGTGCGGAGCAGCGAGAGATAAAAGCGACAAGAAAACAGAGACTTCAGATTTACACAATCAGACCTGCTGCTCCCAATCAGCCATTAAGGCAGCAACGCAGCAGGAGAGGAAACGTGTGCACAGCTTCAGTGCATGTCAAATGAGAGGCACACTCTAGAGCTGTGTGTGTGCGTTGAATACAGCACCACATGCAAATTAATATACTGTATAGTCTCTGTGGCTTTTTTATTTGTCTATGTATGATCTGCACTACAGGAGGGGCAGTTACCAAAGTTACATTTGCTGCGGTGAAAGATCAAAAGGGGCAGCTAAGAGATTAAAGGAGCAATTAAGTATTACACTTCAATGAAGCTGGTGGACTTTCAAGAAACAGAAGATCAGTGAAAAGTGAAGCAGCAGAGGCCGAGATATCCTGATTTTTAGTCCCTAAACAGGGACTACATTTCCCACAATGCATACCATCTTTCATTAAACCCTTCCTGCCAAGTTAATGCCCTCATCTTTCAACCTCCACAATGTCAGTTTGTAATTCAGGCTTTCCTGTTAAAAATGTGCAGTCTCTGCACCCAAGCTGAGATTTTCTGAAAGCTCCTCCAGCAGCTGATGTGTGTCAGTGGGTGCTGGTGTGCCAATCTACTGTAGTTCAGCCAACAAGCCTGCACACATGAAGCGAAGTGAAGAGATAATTTGAAGCTTAGTTTTTTGTTCTGAAAACATTTTCTCTGTTAGAGCCGACCAGAACTACTGGAGCTTCTATGGCATTTAAAATGTCCCGCTGTAGCCTGCTGCTTCTTTCTGGATTTGCTCTCCTAATAAAAAGCAGAGCGAGACAGTGGAAGCCAGACACATAGGAACAAAAGACAGATTTTCAAAGTCACAACTCTTTTGAGAGTCAAAGTTCATGTTAGATCAGATGTATTTTGGGATGGTTTTATTGTAATTCAGAGCAGTCCAGATTCCTAAACTTTCCCTCTCCTCTCCCCTGTTTTGTCACTCGTCTCCTAAAAATGTCTCCTTTGCTAAAATCTCATGCTCTCTTCATCTCTCCAACTCTCTTTGTTTTCATTCTTTAATTTTTAATTGTGCTATTTTAAATCTTGTGTTTAAAATGATGTAGAGTTTGCATTATTCACTTTATTGCATTGTTAGTTAGAAAAGAAACTCCAAACACACACATTTATTTCTTTCCTATAGTATCCCTGTACCCTTTTTTCACTATATACTAAGGCTCATTAGTTTAAGTTTTTATTTAAAGAAAACAAACCAGGAATTTATCAGTGTTAATTTTTACTATTAAAAACTGAAAAGTAAAAAATATGAAAAGTAATTTAATAATTTGTTAAAAATGCCTTTTGGAGCAAAATTTTTTATAGTTTAACCAATATAAGCATCTTCTTACAGAAGGAAGCATAAAACATTTTGGCTGCATTAGCACATAAAATCCAGGTAAAAGGGTTTTTGAACCACTCAACAAATATCTGGGTATTTTTCCATTCAAATAGGCAAACTCCCAAAACGATCTACCCTAATGGACAAAACAGCTGTTGGTTTTTCCTTAGTGTTGTTTTCCACTGACATGTCGGCCATGTTTTCATGTAACATGGAGTTTGTGAATAGCCTCCTTCACGGCCCCCCTTCTCACAGGGGAATGCTCATAATGAGAGATGAAACCAGCTGGACACAGGTGTTCTGTATAAACATTATTCCAAAGGGCTTTCCTCTCCCTCATCCTTCTCTGCCTCATCCTCCTCCCCCACCTCTTTGTCTTCTCCCTCTGAAATCGCCTCCTTGGTCTCCATTTACACATCCTCATTAACTCTGTTTTTCTCAACGTCATTGTTCACCTGTGTCTAGCATCATCTTCTTATCCTTAGCGACCTCTTCATACTGCTCTCCCCTCCCTACCCCCTCTCGATCTCCATCCCGCTACCTCCACTGTCGCGTCACCTTGCTTCTCCACCTCCTTTGTCTCGTCCTTCCCTTCCTTTACTGCCTTGTCTTCTTTCTTTATCCATTTTTGCCATCTCTCGTCAATCATTTCCACCTCCATCAATAAACTTCTCCCCACCCTCTGCTTTCTCCATCTCCCGCTCTCTTCTTCCACCCAACACACACACCTTGGACAAGCAAAATGAGAAAGCAGAGATTTTGTCCACATTGTTACCTTTCTCACAGGTAGCTCCTCCGTAGCTGGGCAGACAAAGACACACAAAGGAGTTGATCTCATCGATGCAGGTTCCTCCATTCTGGCATGGATTAGACTGGCAGTCATCAATGTCTGGAGGGAGAGAAACAGGGGGGAGCGAATAAGAGAGGGGGTGAGTCAGATTAGATACAAACACACACACGCTTACACTCACGAAACAGCACTTTCCAAATGGCTACTTTTTAAACTACCTGCCGCAGCTTGTTACTGAGCAAACCCCTGAGAGATCAAACTTTTGGAGAGATTAGAGGTGTTTCTGAGAAAGTTGTAATTAAAGCGAATTGATTGAACTTCATCAGTGAGCGGTTTGGGATGCACTGAAGCGCATGATGCTAATTGCAATGTGTTTGCAGGACGTGCCGCAGTTCTGCTGTCAAACCTGAGCCGCAGGAGCGAGGAAGAGTAAGGAGCGGGGTGGAAGGCAGGAAAGAGAAAAGAAGAGAGAGACGTGGAGATGAGAGGGAGGAAGATCTTCCTGAGCTTCTATCTTCACCAACAACACCGCCCGCATTGATGCACCAGCTGTCTTGCTGGTAGCTACAAAAACTGTACGCAAATCCATTTTAATATGTGTACCAAAAGGATGCGGGACGGCATCTCTTAGATGTAATGTCAAAATCTAGTCTAAATGTTTGTGCACAGTTTACACACACACACACACACACACACACACACACACACACACACACACACACACACACACACACACACACACACACACAGACATATTTCACTGAGCCATTGCAAAGGGGAGAGTTCTCATTCTGTTGAAGAATAACTGTATTTCTCTGGCTGATCTGGGCCCCGGGGCAAAATCATTAAAACTGCAGCTGGTATCCAACAACTGAGTGAGTCCCTGGGGCCTTGGCAAGGGGTCAGGGGAGGGGAGGGGAAGTGAATGGAGAGTGGGGAGGCAGGGGAGAGTCCGAAGAGTGAAGAAATATATAAGGATAAAGAGAGATGCTCAAAAATATAGAGAATGGCGGGATGAAGGAGAGGTAATGAAAACAAGGGTTGGGGGAGAAAGACAGAGGAGATATGTAGCTGCGAGTCTGGGAAATTGGCAGGTTTCAGGTTAGGATTACAGGGGCTTTGCAGGCAGACAGCGTTTGGGTTGGAAGAGTCTGTTTGGATAAAACAGCGTGACAGCTTCATTGCTTGTGCCCCGCTTTGGGCTGGCTGATATTAAAGGCTGAATTTGATGCAGGAGGTAGAGACCCAGCCAGAGGAGTCGGAATGAGATGGCATTTGTGTTGGTTTAGCGTATCGCCGTTTATCCGTGTATAACTGTCTCTCCCTCTGTCTGACTCATGATGACAAAATGAAATACAAAAAAAGAACAAAATAACATATTAGGAATGACAAAAGAGACACACCTCCCACACCACAGAAAGTTTTCAGTCTGGTTCAGATAATCTGACATCAAGGGGAGGGCTGATCCTTTTTTTTTTTGCTTCGGCTATAGCAAAGGCTTGATTCCTTTTCAGCTTTAAAGGGCTTTCCACTGATGTTTCAAAAATTTTTTACACAGTTTACTTGAGTACTACTCAGAATGTAAAACAGTTAAATAATGTCTTCAGTAGCTCTGGAGAGAGCTACAAATGTAGGAATGCACCAAAATAAAAATCCTTGGCCGAAGCCGAAACTGAATATAATGAAAAACTTTTTAGGGTTTTTTACATTCTTTTCCATTTATTTTGCCAATTTTTTTTTACCATTGCAAAAATGAAATAGTCAAAATGTGCTTTTTACTCAGTGTTTCCCACAGGATTTGGAGAGACTATGGTGGGTGGGTCCGAGGCCCGAGAGGGTCTGGTAAAGTAAATGACATGTGTCCATTTACTTTTAATCTACACACATGTAATATGTTTTATACTTTCTGTGAATATAATCCAGTTAATCTAATTACCATATTGTATAGACACCTTATTTTGAAAACCGGACGTTGAACAGTGTCTGCAAATGGCGATTTTTGTGTCTTTCTCAGACACTTTAAAATGCTTCCACACTGCCTACATCTCAACGTAATTGTTCGGCAAAATTTATTCGGTCTTTTGACTTATTAGGCCGAACACCAAAAGTGCTTTTTATGCTATTTTCGGCTGATTAATTACGTTTGCCGAACATTCAGTGCATTCCTAGTTATTTGAGATTATTTGAGTTTCAATTCACCATTAAGACCCAGCAATCACAAATCACCACTGAGCGAAAACATTACTCTGCAGGATTATTGGCCAATTGTGACAGTTAACTGCCATCAAACAAGAGGCTCCAGTGTCTGAGGTGCTTGACCATGCAATGCTTTGTAGCAAAGAGAGGCCACGCTGAGTTAATGGTGTTAAATAGTGTGGTGTTGAAGTAAAAGGACAAACAGCAGTATTTTAGTCCAACCAGGCATTAAGTTATAGAAAATTAAACTGCCTGCAGGAGATGAGGTGTGATGACAACAAAGTGGGTCAAACATAAAGTCCAAGTGCACCACTGTGTGTTCCACTTTAAGTATTTATGGTGCAAATAACATGGACAGCTGGACAAAACAGAATGATATGACCCAAAAAGATCCTAAGGATGACTACCTGAATACAAATCCCTGAATGAGCCTCTGAGGAACTCCATGTAATTGAAACATGATGTATGATGAATGATAGACAATGAAAATAACCCTCCATCTACACTGTGAACCAACAGATGAGCAGTTTGCCAGTTTGCTGTTTTTAAAAAATGCCTAACATGAGCCAGCATCTGGCCTCATTAAGCACTGTAGCGTTGGGGTAAGGAGTCGAGTAACCACCTGGATTTTAGGAGCACTGGGGGGTCATGAAAGTACAGCTCAGAGCATCAGCTATTAGAAGGGCCACAGTAGGCAGGTAGATATTATCTGTCATAGGAACCGAGATAATGTTACTGTAGACACTGGCAGCTGGCGTAGGCTGACCTTTATTTCCTCAAGTTGTCTGAAGAAATTCAAGCACAAAGGTGATCATTATACCAAATTAATCCTTGCAGGCCAACTGAAACTACAGGTAACATGATTGGGGCTGTCCGCTTTGTACTTGAAAAGATGGAGATTATCCGTTGAGGACCAAACAGTAGCTTTAGATTAAGGTATTGTACAAGGTATTGTTTCACACGTTTGCTGTCTTTGTACAGAAAAGTATATAAAGGATAAAAACTAGAGCCACACCAACACATCTGCTGGGCTGACATATCAGATACTGCATATATTAGCTTATTGCATATATACTGGTATCTGTGTATATGTCAGCAGGTAGCTAACAAGTACATTGCAATACAGACATGTCAAAGATATGTTTGAGGTAATTTAGAAATGTTGTCTCCAATCAGAATCAGAAATACTTTGTTGATCCCCAAGGGGAAGTTGTTGTGTTACAGTTGCTCACGTTGCAAATCAAGGCATTAAACAAAATAAATAATAATAAAAATTTGGCAAGTAGAAAATGGAAATAGAAAAAATAAAAAATATAAATTTAAATATCTAATTAGGAGTGTGGAAATATATGCAGTATTCTACAGTATGTGACAGAATAAATAGTAGTAATAATAAATGAGTACTGGTAATGTTGAGAGCTGGAATGGATTTCAATCCATAAAAATTGTAGTTTAAGGACAAAAAACAAAAATACATTTTGGAGGGATGAGTATTGCACTGACAGTACTGCTGTGTCTGACCAGCATGTCATGGAGTGGGTGAGAGACATTGTCCAAGATGACACCAGAGACAGAAAGTCCAGTCCACAATGTCACTGCTCCTTCCGGATTAGTTTGTTGAGTCTGTTAGCATCGGCTACGCATAATCTGCTGCACCAGAATACAACAGCAAGCAGGATAGCACTGGCCACCACAGACTCATCAAACACCCTCAGCATTGTCCGGCAGATGTTGAAGAACCTCAGATCTCGCCCTTCCTGTAGAGGAGTGTTCTTGGCCCATTATATCATTTATCCACCAGGGAGCACTGATGATGAAATGTGCTACACTGTACATATCTTGGTCACAATTTCACTAACTGTAAGGCTCCATTGTCATCAAATGTTTTTTTTTGTACATAAACACAAAAAGTAAACAAAGAGTATTGGTTGATATGTTTTTAATCTGATTTTTTAAACCCTCTGATTATGGCCTGCAAAATCCTGTAACAGTCTTGCTACAATAAAAACACACATCTGTAACAGTCTTAACTCAAAGTGCTCAGTTGGCCTGGAGATGCTATTCTGTGTGTGAAGTATTGAACGTCAATCACATTACAGCAGATGTTGGTATTGGAGATGCAGTGGAAAGCTCTGAGGTATTTCCAAGGTCAAGCCATAAAAATACTCTGTTTAGAATAACACCTCATTAAAAATGACATCTACTCATTCCTCCTCAAAAAAAATTCTGAATCTATGAACATGCCAACATTGTTCATTTGAGTGACTACTGGACACAACATCTCCTACTTTAGTGCATTCTCAATTTATGTGTGGTGCAGGCTTCAGGTTTCCACATCACACTTGTTGAAGTTGCATACTGGGCCACGATTGGCTTCTTAACTAGTAGAGAGGTCACAAAATCATTCTCACAAGTACACTTAACCCATTTTAACTCCTCATCGGCATCAGTTTGTAATGCACTGGGGATCCCTATAGTGTCATAGTCCAACACAGTGGGGGAAGTCCTGTAGCGTCAGGTTTTGAAGGTAAAGGTACAGTATATGATATTTAATAGAAAAGAATGAGTAAGGTGGTGGTTGGGGTGGATGGAGAGCCAGAACCTGGTCTTTGAACCAGGAGACCGCGATGTTCATGTGTGAATCAAAAAAGTCAACATACATTTTTTTAATTTAAGTTAAGCAAGTTATGTTAGTTAACTGATGTACGTAGTTATTTTAACCCAAACCATGATCTTTTTCTAACCCTAACCAAGAACTTTTTTGCCTAAACCTAACCAAATTGCTGCATTTCATAACTTTAACAAGGTGCCGTTTCAAAATTGGCAATGTTTCGCAACACTAGCGTTTTATTTTGAAAGTCTTACGGACGTTGCATATTTATTGTTGCTAAGCTTTGCTAACT